TCGAGCATTGAATTTATTTTCAAATGTTTTGCTTCTGTGTTTGTTAAAGTGGTAATTAGAAAAATCCATCATACCACGAAAACGTGCGCCTGAGTAAACGTGTGTGTACAAACGTGTGTGTATAAACGTGTGTGTTTAACACGTAGGCATTCGCGACCAATAACATCCATAATACAGGTTTTTTGGCACGTTTTTTGGGTTAGATCGCGTAATATTTACGTAATATTTACGCGATCTAACCCAAAAAAACAGGATTATGAAAAACGTGTGTGTGTGCGTGTGTGTAAAACTTGCTCGCTCACAGCACTTGCCCCTACAGTCTGTTAAGGCTATACGGGGATCTTTGTCTTTGTAAAACTTACCGAGTTGGCAGAGCTGGGAGCCCAGGTGGTGCTCGTCCCAGCCAGCGAACCCATAGCACCTGGGTCCACCCAGTGACCTGCCAGCAGTCAGAGACCCTCCACACCTCACGTGGTGGTCTCAACGTGCACCTAGCCTGGCACATGAGTTAACCCATAGCAAACCGGATCCTCCGCGTGACCTCATGCCAGCATACGAGCAGTGCACTTGTGCATGTGTGCGTGTGTGGCAGTGCGTTTGTGTGTGTCTACGTGTGCGCTGCGCTATAAACCCGCTCACGGCCAACACCAGCGACGATTACCTGAACCGGTCCCGGGACCTCAAATGAGTACCTGGCGTGGTGTGTAAACATCGCCACTGGGGAGACAAAGGCGGCCGGGCGTGGCGCTGGCCACCCACCCCCTCGTGCGCCGTGCCGACCTCCGTAGGTGCTGCTCGCTAACAGCACTTGCCCCAACAGTCTGTCACAGGCTACACGGGGGATCTTTGTCTTTGTGTGCGTGCACGCACGCGCGAGTGTGTAGCGAATATTAACCCGAAGAGGTGGGGGTGGCGGGGTGGTGTGTGTGGAGTCGTTGCTCCGCTTGGGAAGCTTGGGAACGTGGCCGGGCATCTGCATGACAAAGCGGCAGGGTCCGTGAGAAATGCCCCCCACCCCATCCCACAGAGGCGAGTGACCAAACAAGAAGTAGCCCCCCACCCCGCCCCCCATGCCCGGCGATTGTATGCCCTGGGAGTTTTTTGCCCTGGGCGGCTCATTGTTGGAGGCCGGTGAAGGGCGAGGGAGTGAGGAGAGCGGTGGAGAGAGAGAGAGCAGAGTTCTAATAATAATGATGATGATGAGGGGGAGTGGGTTGGTACCATTGGAGGCCCATTATGGCAGCACTCGGCCTTTTGTGTGGTGGGCATGGCAACCGTGGGGGGTTGGGACCCCCACGCGGGGGGGGGGGGAGGCCGGGCGCGCGTTCCCGTCGAGTGGCTAAGCGAGAATTATGGGGCGCCCGAGAAAGGTTTCCCTAGAAATTTGCCGAAGGAGTGCGGCGCATTCGCTTGGCAATAGGCGCAGACGCCCGCAAAATTAGTTTTGTGTGACTCCCCGCCGCTCGCTCACTCGTTCGGCCAGTGGAGGATGGTGGTATGGGGGCCCTGTAGGGAGAGCGAGCTCCTTCCGAGGTTCCTCGGCCTTAATCTTCAGAAGCCTTGAACCGAAAGTGGTGGCGTATATCCCACCACTTTACCCCACCACGCGATGGACTGATCGCGGTAAGCCCGTTTTATGCCACCGGGCGGGTGGACACAAATGCCGGGGGGTGCGGATTTGTACGGATTTTTAACTTCTTTCGCGCCGTACATGGCCAGGCGCGCTAATCGGAGGCGCGGGGGAAGGACAACAAACTAAACACAAAAAGGCAGTTCTCAAGAAATGAGTTTCCAATCTAGATGATGATTTAAAAGTGCGTAGCTCGCAGCGGCTTCCTAATATCGGAAGGGAAGAGCATTCCAGACGGCTGCAGAGGCGCACCTGGAAGCGCCGCGCGATGCGGTGGTCATCTTTGTTCGATGGCCAGCCCAAAAGCCACCGCTGCGATTTTAATAAACGTGCAAAAAATTTGTTTCAAATGCCACGCAGGAAGGACGAGCCGGCGACCTCTTGATTGCAGGTCCACGGTGTTTGAACCATTGCGCCATGGCAGCGTCCCAGCCTTACTCCATCACGAGCAACTTGCACCACTCGTAAGCCGCCGATCGACTGGTAACAGCGTATGCCACCTCCACGCTCGAGGATGTCGTGTTGCGATGTTTACAAACATCCATTGAGATTAGATTATTTTGCTGGCTATAAATGTCCAAATGATGGTCCACTTTGTTGAGCAATGATTTGTGGCCAGGTCGCTTCTGAATAATAATTTAATACCTCAGTGCGGCTTTGCCTGGTAGGATGGGGGTGGTTTAGTTTTGTATTTGTCTGGGTCATTTGTTTACCTTTCTGGTACTTTGCACTACATCGTGTTTTTGTAATGTTTGTTGTTGTAATGTTCTTAACCGCCCTTAATGGACATTTGTGAAAAGGAGCTTTATAGTTAATCGGATTCCTCCAGTATAAATAAATATTCAAATTCTGATATACTGGGGACATCTGAATGCTAGCCGTGAAGTTGCCACTCGGGCGAACAACAGATCAATTGGCGGGCACGACAGTTTTATTTTGCCGTCAGTTCTTATTTACAATGCCGACGATTGGCATTTAAGAGAAGCCGTTTTGGACGAAACTCCAAGATCTTTCTTTCCTTTGATTGGTCGTGAAAGAAAAGCTGTGTTCATATTCCTCAATTATCCTGATGTTCAAAATCTAAACAGTGTTTGGTTCGGTATTTGCCCAATCCAAAGACAACTCCGCACCGTTTCTTCATCTCAAGACAACGTGTCCAGATTGAAACGTAAATGTTAAAACCTTGGTATTAGTTTTGGTTTGTTACATTGGTGGGGTAAAGTCTGGGGACCTCCACCTCCTTCTAAGACGTCCGCGGAGGCTAAAATATCCACGAGGTGGCGATTTCCCAGAGCTCCCTCTCCGCCAGTGGAGAGGCAAAGCCCCTGCTTCATCTCCCGGCAGTGGCGTGCCCAAGCAACCTTGCGGCCCTGTGCCCCCCTTTCCATTTTTTTACCCCAATCAATCGGGAATAAACGAACGCCATTGTTTAAATGACAATGGCCCTTCGCTGAGCAATGGCTTTGCGAGTGGAGAGCGTGGCCTGTCGGCGCGGACCGACGGTCGTATATTTCGTCCAGGGGGCAGGAACAATCATTTATCCTTTATTGCCCATCGAATAAATGAATTGAGGCCTGCTGCTCGGGTGACAAATCGCGCTTCGCGGGAGGCTTGCGGCTCAATGCTGACGGAGTGAGAGTGGTTAAAGAGGGGAGGGCACAAAAGCGATAACTTTCGTGGAGAGGAAAACATAATAAAGGGGCCGACTTTGGTAAAGTGAAATGAAACCGCGGTCTGGTGATAGCCGTGATAACATCGTGCGATACGGAGTGCGCGATGCACCATATCATCCGCGTTGTACAACACGCACCGTATCATCCGCGTTGTACAACATCGTCATATCGTAATTTGTGTGGCCTGTGTATACAGTACACATCAAGACCGTAGCCATGGAGTCAACATTGGGGGGGACCAAATCTTCCAGGGGGTTTAGGGGTCCCCCCGCAGAAAAAATCTAAATTTGAAAACGAATTTCCTGCCATTTCACATGGGATGGACTTTTTATAAAACATCTATATTGTATTATATTGCTGTGTTTTTTCTTTTTTTTACCTTTTCTTGTTTCATTGTATGTAATGGCAGAGATTAGGGATGAATAAAGTACAACCAAACCACAATTATATAAACAGAAATCTATTTTGTAGCAATATATTGGAGGGGACATTTTGAGCATATTTGAATATGGGGGGGGGGGGTGCGTCCCCCCCCCAATATTTATTATAATTACGGCCTTGCCGTACACATGCAAATATTTTTGTTTGCCTCACTAAAACAAAATATTTCTTTTAAAAAACAACGAGATATCACAGTTCCCCATTAATAGCAGTTTCCCGTTAAAACGAGTGCTTTGTTTTCCAGAGTAATTGACGGCAGTTATATGACCTCGTTAATTTAGCGATTCTATCATTTCATTATTTCTCGTGGCACTGACAGCCTGTGTGTGTGTGTGTTGTTAGTGCGATTGCTTGTAAATGTGCAGTGTATCTACGGGACCTTTTTTTCTGTTTGCCAGTATCCAAAATGATGAAAAAAAAAGAATAACTGCTCCACCCGAGCTATGAGTGTTCTGATACTTGCATTGTCTTTGGACTGTTCGCCTTTTCACGTCGTTCTATGGTCTCACACTGCTGAGGCTAGGCCATAAGAGACGGCTGTTTTTGGTGTCTGCCAATCAGTTTCAAACACAATGCATGTATTATCAGAGCATGTTTGTTAGCATGCTCACCGCAAGTATGTGTGGTTCATGCAGAATTGAGGATGCCTTGCAAAATTGTAGATATTTGGTGTCAGAGCATCTTACCACCTCCTGTTTTATTGCCAGTAAGGGTAAAACCTTCTTCTTATATTTTCCATAAATTTGCAATGGATTGAATTATGTTTGCAATGGGCCAACGATGGTGTGAGAGAGCTGCAGTTGAACTTTTAGACAACTTTTGTTTTAATGTACGCTGCAAGTACCGCGCGGCACAGAACCAGCACGTTACGGATTTAACACAACGTGCAGTTGAATTGCAAAACAAAACAAACGCGGATACCGTGACCCTTCGTCACGTTGGGAGACTCGACACTGTATCCTGTCGTGATAGATCATACCGCGGCATCCCTGAGATTGAATTGTAACTTTCACGGTCGGTTTAATTGTGCGCAATGTCTGACGGGACAGCAGTCGCACATCCGATCAGCGCGGTTGGCTACGCACGGCGCGAAAAAGAAGTCCAACGTGCATACTGTACGTACAGTACATGCAGCTGAATGTGTACCGCATCAGGGACGGATTGATTTTGTGCAGCGCGTAACGATTCGTACGGACATGGCGAAGCAGTCTGATACTTTCTTTCGTGTTTTTTTTTCCTTTCACCCCCCCCCCCAGGCCAGAATGCACTTAAAGAAGCTCTCCTTGAGTCAATGAAGGAAAATCAATCTGCTTCTCCATCGAAGCATCTTAAGCCAGAATAAGTGAAAAACACGCCTAAACGCCTAAATCACGTAACCCCTTTCCTGGAAGGAAAAAAAAAACGCGTTGGCCAGCCCTGTGGACCCAGGCTTGACGCGATGAATATTTTCACTTGAATACAAAATAAAAAAATTAGGTGTTGTTTGAACACTTTTTTTGTACGTCCTTTGGTTCTGCTGCTTGCGCCGCGGGCGTTTGCGCGAGGTCCCTCGGTGAAAGCGCCCGGATCCCAGGATGGCGGCCCAGGCGCTCCGCCCGCTTCGAGCGTGCCTCTTCTTCCCCACGCTCCTGCTGCTGCTGCCCGCCGCTTGCTACGGCTCGCAGTGGGCCTCCTGGTGCCCCGAGCCGTGCGTCTGCGAGGTGCGCCCATGGTTCACCCCGCAGTCCACCTACCGGGAGGCCCCCACCGTCGACTGCAACGACCAGCACCTGACGGGCATCCCTCCCGGCATCGTGACCACCACCGAGGTCCTTCTACTCCAGGGGAATTCCATTGCCGTCGTGCCCGACCCGATATCGTCGTCCCTCCTGAACCTCACCGACCTCGACTTCTCGCAGAATAATTTCAGCTCCGTCCTGGACACGGGGCTGTCCAACCTGACCCAGCTCGTGACCCTCCACCTGGAGGAAAACCACGTCACCGAGCTGCCCGACGGCTGCCTCAAGGACCTCGCGAATCTGCAGGAGCTCTACCTGAACCACAATCAGATCCGCACCGTGGCGCCGGGAGCGTTCCGGGGCCTCTCCAGCCTCCTCCGCCTCCACCTCAACTCCAACCAGCTGAGGAGCATTGACGCGCGCTGGTTCGCGCACACGCCCGGCCTCGAGATCCTCATGATCGGGGAGAACCCCGTGTCCGGCATCGTCGACTTCAACTTCCGGCCGCTGGCAAATCTGCGGAGCCTGGTCTTGGCCGGAATGGGCCTGTCAGTGCTGCCCAGCGAGGCCATGGTGGGCCTGGACAACCTGGAGAGTCTCTCCTTCTACGACAACCAGCTGGAGCGCGTGCCCCGCGTGGCGCTGCAGAGGGTGCCCACGCTCAAGTTCCTCGACCTCAACAAAAACCCGATCCGGCACATCAGCGACGGCGACTTCCGCGACATGCTGCGGCTCAAGGAGCTGGGCGTCAGCAGCATGGCCGAGCTGGTCTCGGTCGAGAGGTTCGCCCTGGACAACCTGCCCGAGCTGACCAAGGTGGAGGCGACGAACAACCCCAAGCTGGGCTACGTCCACCGCGAGGCCTTCCGCGACGTGCCCAAGCTGGAGAGCCTCATGCTCAACGACAACGCGCTGAGCGCCCTCTACTTCGCCACCGTGCGCTCGCTGCCCAGCCTGCGGGAGGTGAGCCTCCACGGCAACCCGCTGCGCTGCGACTGCGTCAGCCGGTGGCTGGGCGCCAACCAGACGGCGGTGCGCTTCCTCGAGCCGGAGTCGATGCGCTGCGCGTCGCCGTCCGACGCCGAGGGGCGCGACGCGCGGGAGGCGGCGTCCCTCGGCGGGGCCCTCGCCGAGGCCTGCCTGCCGCTCATCGCGCCGGCCGCCCTGCCCTCGAAGCTCGAGCTGCAGCCGCACGCGAGCGCCACGCTGGAGTGCAGCGCCGTCGGAGAGCCCGAGCCCGCCATCTACTGGGTGACGCCGCGCGGGGACAGGGTGGCCGCCGACTCGCCGCCCGGCCGGTACCGCGTGGAGCTCGAGGGGCGGCTGGTGATCTCGGACGCGCGGGGCGACGACGCGGGCCTGTACACGTGCGTGGCGCACAACTCGGAGGGCGCGGACACGCGCGGCGTGACGCTGCGCGTGACGGGCGGGCCGGCGGGCCCCGGCGGGGTGGAGGCACGCGGGCTGACGCTCGCCGTGAAGGGCGTCGACGCACGCTCGGTGCTCGTCGTGTGGCAGGTGAGGTGGTCGGCACGTGCCCAGCAGTGGATTGAGCATGGCCGACGACGACGACGATGATGATGATGATGATCATGAGAGTAATTCGACACGTGCATAGGAGGAGACTAGATCGGAATATTTATTTTTACTGGAGGAATCTAGTGAGCTATGAAGCTCTTTTTCACAGATGTCCTGTAGTTTCACAGATATCTAGTAGAAACTTAGTAATCACGTACAAACACAAAGGTAAAGATCCCCCGTTTAGCCAATAAACTGTAAGGGGCAAGTGCTGTTAGCGAGCACCTATGAAGGCCAGCACAGTGCATGGTGGGGTGGGGTGGTGTGACAGGCACCACGCACGGCCACCTTTGTCTCCCGAGTGGCGATGTTTACGCTTCGCACCAGGTATTCATTTCAGGCTGAATTGGCCTAGGTAAGGCCAGGACATGTTCTGATACCACTTGCAGCTGATGTTAGCCATGTCTCGTACTTGAACTCAGCAGGTTCCACTGCTCTCCATGCACGCACGCACAAACATACACACTGGGTACACACACCACAGGGATCTCGGAGGTGGTGTAATGAGATGGCAGTGCAGCAAATAGGTTTCTGACCTGTTTATTGATCGATTTTGAACTTTATCTCCGGGCATTCGTTGGTTTCCTCACACGAGCGAATGACTCATTAAAAACGGAGTTGGCCAAACGTCCGAATGCACTCCCTGAAAAGAGTCTTTGGGCGAGGCTCAGTGGGGCTTTTCTGGGCCATGACATGTGACCGTTGTTATTAATGTATATCCAATTTAAAGCTTGCCGGATTAACGGGCTATGGCTTATCTGGCTTCTAAGGGGGGGAGGGGGGGTACGCAGCTTCCCAATGGTCAACACAGAAATAGCTCCGTGAGTGGAACAACACAACAAACTAAGCGCGAAAAGCATCTCTAAACAAATGTGCTTGTCAATCTAGATGATTATTTAGAAGTGCCATAGCTTGCAGTGGCCCCCTGATATCGGAAGGAAAATGAGTGGCGACGACCATCTGTGTTCTACGGCGACAAAACCACCACCACCACGTGTGCGAACGACCAACGATTGATTTTACGAGACTTCCACGTGTCTTACTCGAGTTCACAACTGAACGTGGGAGAAATTAACCTCGTTCTAACACGTAGGCTTTCGCGACCAATATCATCCATAATATAGGTTTACATATAATGCCCTCTATTTAAAGAATGAAACAGGGGGATTTCTCCACAAATCTGTCTGTCCGCTCGTTGTAATTACTGGCGAAACGTCGTGATCGGATTGTAAATGTTGTGGCTTAGATCTCCAACACACCGGTGTGCTGTACTAGAGACGAATTGACACGTTCTGTTTACGTGACAAACCTTACTCACTGGCTGTGTCGGGTGGTGGCGGGTTTAACGACACATTTATATATTTACGCGATCTAACCCAAAAACCTCTACTATGAACCTTGTTCTAGTTGTGAAAACAAAGGAAGTAAATAAAACATCTTTGAATTTCAAAGTAAAAAGTCAAAGTAGTTTGGAGGCTCAAACAAGTCCAGGTAGACAATCGATGTTGGGAATTCCATGTTCCTGTGGTAGGGCGAGTCTGTCCATCCGACAATCACTCCATCCGAAATACGTTCATTCGACGTCAAGAAAATAAAGACATGTCAATATTTATTTTGGTATTGAGTGGGATACGTTGTTGGAGAGACATACTTTTTTGGTCGATGCCGTGTCATTATCCAGACACTTTTTTATGAAGTAGGCAGTGCATAAAAATCCATTGTTGCACCGTACTTCTATGCTCGCACTATGGTCCTGCATTCGCCTAATCCAAACTGACCAAAGCGGTGAAGTATAACCCAATACCCTCTGTGGGGAGGCCCTCTTCCAGCTGAGGCTAATTGCTCAATGGCACGTGCACCCAATCTTGTCAGACCTCAGAAGCTAAGCAGAAACGAGCCTGTTTAATATTTGAATGAGGATACTGCCTGGATATACTAGGGTGTGACGTAGTGGGCTTGGGCTGCGGAATGAAATGGCTGGGAGATGGCAGCACAGGGGAGAGGGGCCGAGGGGGGGGGTACTAGAGTGTTTGTTTTTTCCCGCTCGTTCGTGGAGTTGTCCAGCCGCGAAAGCCTTCGCGGCCCTCGCCTGCCCGTAAGGCCTTCTCGCGCACCCTCCTGAACCCACGCACCCTCCTGAACCCGCGTGCCGTCTCAACCCGAACCACCGCCAAAACCCACCCCACCTCCCTCCCGCTCCCGCAGGTGAACCCAGACACGCTGACGCCGTCGGACGTCAAGTGGTCGTCGGCCACCGTCAAGGTGGAGAGCTCGCGGGCGTCCTACACGGCGCACGTGCCCGTGGGCGTGCGCGAGTACAACCTGACGCACCTGCAGCCCGCCACCGCCTACGCCGTGTGCCTGGCCGTCGCCACGGCCCAGCAACGCGCCGCTCGCCGCTCCTGCGTCAACGTGACGACGCGCTCGGCGCCCCTCCTGGTGAGCCCCGCCGAGCGGCAGGCGAACGTCGCCACGGCCGCCGCCGCCGCCTCCGTCTTCGCGGCGCTCACCCTGGCGTCGCTCGCCGCCTGCGCCGTCAGGCGGCTCAGGCGGAGGTCCTACGACCAGTCGCTGAAGCAGTACGTGCAGAAGGGCTCCTCCATCCCGCTCGACGAGCTCTACCCGCCGCTCATCGGCCTGTGGGAGGCGGAGGGCGGCGAGCGGGAGAAGGAGGGCGCGGAGGGGAAGGCGTCCGCCTCCTCGTCCGCCACGTCGCAGGTGGACACCTCGCGCAGCTACTACATGTGGTAGGAGGCGGTTGCCGAGGCGGCAAGCCGCCCTCGGAGGTACCACGGGAGAAAAAAGAAAAGTAGAAAAAAACAACGGACCCGTCGTGAGGAGACAAGCGCGTGCGGCGGAGAGGATGTGACCGACACGAAGCCCGACTCATCACGCTGCTGTTCTGGGAAGACTTGCAGCATTTCCCCGCGGGGGACAGCTTCGCTTTAACAAAACAAATGAGGACGGTTTCCTGCGAAGAGTGGGGACAGGTGTCGCGACGACGCCAGGGTCGGTCACTGGAGGCGGAGGAAATGAGAGAAGTACCACGCCTGTGGCGGCGAGACTTGTTGACTTGTTGTTTAAATTCGGTGGGGAGTGGGGGGGGGTGGTCAGGGTGGGAGGCATACGGAAACTCAGGAGGGGTGGGGGTGACACAGTCGACGTTGATCAAACCTTAAACTAACGTCACACGCGAGGCCACAAACGACGCTGGAGCAGACGGCGCGCACCTCTGTCCATTTGTTACAGTCGGGGGGAGGGGGGGGGTTGTCTTGGAGGAGAAAATTACCACTGCGTGTTCAATATTTTCCTGACGTATGTTGACATTACGGGGGGTGGGTGGCGGCTCAGCCCACTCCGGCTGGAAGGACCGATCGGAAGATGGTTTTGTGAGCGACGCTGGTTGGCGCTGCTGGTGGTGCTGGCGGCGGCGTGCCCACTCGTGCGCGGTTACGCCTCTCGGCAAACGAGCCTCTCGCGTGACGGCCAGAAGGATCTCCGCCCTTCTGACGCGCCGACGACGCTCGCGCCGAGCCGAGCTGCGTAGGCCGTCGACCTGGGGCTCGGCTGGAATCGTGGGACCGCAGGTCGCCGAACTTTTAGACGCCGCCGCCCCCCTCCCCTCCCTTCTTCTCCCCTAGGATCATTCCGGGGGGTCGGGAACGTCGGCAGGGAGGAGGGGGGGGGGGGAGCCCGCCTTGCTACGCGAATGCAGCGGCTGAACGTGGCCGTCCTCGCGCCGAGCTCTGGCTGAGAATCGGAAGTTGGCCTTGACGAGACCGGGCCGCCGCCGGGGCCGCGTCCCGGTTGTTTGGGGAGGTCGGCTGCGATCCGACGGCGGTCTGAGCCCCCTCCGTCGACAGCGAAAGCGGGCCGCGAGGGGTTGCCGAGACGTGGCTCCGAGCCATCGCGAGCCGATCGCGGCACCGAGGTGGCGGACATGGGTGTGTGTTGGTGGCTGGCGTGTCGGGGGTCAACGCCACGCGTGGCGATGCGCCGCACGAACGCAGACCGTACGTCGGTATGCAAACGCTGTACGTGTGCTTTTTTTTTCTTCTTCTTTTTGTTTCTTTTCCCCGAGCGTAATTTTTAATTGAGATATTTTCCTAGACACAAGATGACATGAATGTTATTATCTATCGATTCAGGAGCACACCGCACGGGGGTGGGGGGGGGGGGCGTGGCCGGACGGCAAGCGCAGAGCGACGTCCGTCGGGGTCTCGCAGAGAATTCACTCGGTCCGCTGGAACCTGCGTTGCCGAAACCAAAATGGAATTGCTTAGCGCGCGCACGCAGACACGCACGACGCACAAAGGTGTACGCTTCGTTTCAAACGAATGTAAATACTATGCCGCTACGTAAACAACACATCGACAGCCATACTTCAAGGGGGGGTGGGAGGGGTTAATGTTCCCAGCGCTGGACAAGAGCAGAGGGACGAGAGTGGTTGTAATTGCCTTTCCAGGGAGACGCGCGCATGCACGTGCGCTTGTGTGTGCGTGCACGCTAATCCCATCCATCCATGAGGCCTAGGGTTGCCACCTCCTGAGGTTCAAAAAAACCACCAAGGACACATCATGGTCAGGATATGGAATATCTCACAGTACCGTAAGAGGGGCCAAGCTTCGTATAAGTGCAGAGTCTTACGCAAATGACAAAAGCTGGGACTTCTGCCCCAGAGATTTTCCCAGGACAGCTGCCCTCCTCAACAACAACAACAAGGGGGGCGATCCAGGGAAAGCCGCCAGGCCTGGTGGTATGCCCTGGTGAGGCCACTCTCAAGGAACCTCCCTCCGCTGGCCCCAAGGGCAACGGCTGAGCCGACACGCTGTGAGCGGTGCATGATGCGTGGAATCGTCGCGTGGCACCGGCGCGTGGCACCGGCGCGTGGCACCGCCGCTTCTGTCAAAAGCCCTGTGACGTGATTGGGCCTACACTATTGGAAACGCAGCCTGCCGAATGTTGCTTTTGGTAGCGTTTTTTTTGCTTTCGACTGCCTGACAATTGCTGTCGTAGACGTGGGGTCCCGTCTTAACGAGTTTTGTGCACTAGGATTCCCAGGGACAAATGTTGAGGGTGCTGTTTTCCTTCCCGTACCCGGTGCAGCAAGGACGAGCTGGAACCCATGATGATTTAAGCACTGAGATTCTTGTGCCCGAAAATACCCACGCCTGGTAATGGGGGCACGTGTGGTCACACGGCTGGGAAAACCCAATCAAGGCAATTACAGTGCTGCACACATGATTTCGGGGAAACGTTTGGTCGCAGTAAATGGGCCGCGTAACGTCTGCTCAGAGTACCGCCACTTGCGTCGTTTTTCTTTGTTTCCCTCCGCGGCCGTGCTGCCGTTGCAGCCCTCCGTCGTGTTTCCGGGTCGTACCGCCTGCTGTGCCGGTCACGGTGTTCCGACGTTTCGCCTTCGCGTGCCACCGGGAGCTTTCGAAGGAACTGCTCCAAAACGTGGGGGCGCGTGAACCGAAACGACCGGACGCCATTCAGGACAACGCGTGGCACGACCCGGAAATTTACCGCTGGAGCTTTTCTGTTGGGAGGGAGCAAATCGCGTGTTATCTTGGAGGAGAGCTCACGTGGTTGGCTTTCTAGTTGACATCTAGCCGGTTGTTTACCAGCGCGCAATTTGATTTCAGCCGAAATTTCACCGATAGACCGACGGCGCGCACGCCCGCACGCACGCACACGGCTCGATGTTGGCTTTAGCCGGCGGTGCTCGCTGTTGGTGAATTGAATGAAGCCGGCATGCAAACCTGCAGTCGTGGCCCAGCGATCGGTCACCGGACCACGCGGTTTCGTACGCCGGACGCGAGGCGAGCAAACGATGCGTCGCATCTCGGTCAATCAAATGTCGATTCTGAAGTGCGCGTGGCACTCGTGCGTGCGCGTGGGTTATCAATTCGTTTTGGTTGGTCCGCGCGCGTGGGTTTGCACGCCGTGGCGTGTGGATCGGAAAACGCGGACGCTCGCGACAGCAACAAACAAAAATCTACGGAACGAAGGCTCCCGGGAAAGTGCGGTACGGAGCGAAGCGTGCTTGGAGTGCCGCTGAGCGGCACAGAGGGGAACGTGCGGATCGGTGAAGGGGTCAAATCTGAGACGTCGCACGGAGGACTCTTGAGAAGAGTGGGCTTGGGCAGGGCGCGTCGCGAGAAGGGGCGACGGCGTTGGTTGAGACTGACGACAGAGCGGCAGCCTAAATGGGGGAGTGGGCGCGCACTCGCGAGCCGCGTCCCTCGTGTGAGATGGAGCGATGAAATCAACTCCTGCGCAGGTGCTAGAAGGGGACCATGGCATCGCGCGACCGTGAAGGATTGGCGAGAGAAAAGCTCGGGTGGAGGTAAATTGGGCGGGAGGTTTTCATCCAGCCGCGGGATAGATCACGGCCACCGATATTTCGAGAGCGTTTGCGCGTAACGAGTTCCTCTGAGCCCGTAAAGCTGCAAGAGGCCGCTGCAGGTAAAATCGCGACCCCCGAATAGCGACGTCCCACCGGATCGCGACTTGGGGGGGGTCGCAGGGGAGAATTGTCGCACCCCCTAACCACGCGTCACTATGGCTGTAGCCTGGGCATTGCACGACAGCTGGGTTTGGCCCCTGCGTCTACGAATACACAGAGCGGTATCGGCACGAACCATCCACGGGGTAATGGGGTGGCGTATGCCACGCTTGGCATAGGCACCGGTGCAAGGAATTAAATGGAATTCCCTCGCACCCCCCCCCCGCCCGCCTCCATTTCCCCCGCCCGGCGTTCCCTCTCTGCGTAGCCCGGGCGCCTGAAGCCCCCTCCGGCGGCACAAGGTGGCTAGAGACCCGCCCCCGCCCGGAGCAGTTGCACTGCCTGCACCCTCGATGGCTGAAGCCACTGGTGTGAGGTCATCCCTCCGCGATGTGAGAGCGCCGTGTGGCCCAGCAGACAAGGCGGTTATCGGGTGTGCTGAGCAGGGGCGATGACGTGGCGTGTCGTTGGAGGCCATTTTAGAATGATCGCTGCTTGATGACAGCATAGGAATCAAAATTTCAACTGCTGTGTGTATATATATAATACTGTTAGAATGAATAACGGGGTATTCAAAACTTTAACAAGGATTGTTTTTTTTATAAACAATTTTTCCGAGGGGGGAAAGAGAGATGTTGACGTTTCGACCGAATGACCACCACCTCAAGTTGACGGTAGCCACTCCCGTGAGCCACGGTGGGTAGGAGATATTAACGACCTCGCCAGGTATACAGGAGGTCGTGGGTTTGATCCCGATCCTGACGCCTGCTGTATATTTGGAGTGTGCGTCTTCTCCCCGTGGCCGCGTGGATTTTTCTCCGGGCCCTCCGGTTTTTCACTCTACATTTAGAATCAACGTCACGCATTTAGAGTATTTGGCTGCTACACATTTCCACGTGATGATGATGATGATGATACTATCATTTGTGGCCAGTTCGCTTCTGAAAAAACAGCCACATAGCTGGTAAAATAAAAATAAAAATTCGTTTTACAGTTTAATTCTCAACACAAGGGGTGAGCGCCGCCCTGTTAGAGAACCAAACTCTCGTGACGAGGCACCGATAGCACAGTCGGGATGAGTGGAGATGGGCGCTGGATGATGTCAGACTGGAGATAATAGATGATAGTGCGGACTAGACCTCAGCACGTGAAGCATTCTGAAGGCATTCCTGGACTAAGTATGCCGATTGCGTCGCACGGTGCGTAAAGCCGGGGTCCGCCGCACTGAGCGATAGGTTGTGCGACTCGGTTGCTTGCAACTCAATTGCTTGTATGTGG